TCAGTCCTTGGCATAAAAGGATTATAGTCAGAGCTGAAGAAACCAAACAGAGTATCAAGTCCAAGGGGCAACTATGGAAATGGTGGAACAACAAGCAAGAATAGATTCTGGAGCACAGGTAGCTGGGTAAGAAACAGGCCAGGGAAGTGGTTCAGAACTAAAGCTAAGACTGATGTGTGGTGAAGGAGCCTCAGCTAGAACTCCCTATTCCTTGAATCTTTGCTGCTTTTGTAGGGGAGAGTATGGAGGTTTTAAAGGAGTTGAGTAAAGATCAAGACAATGGGTTAGCATTAAATATCACATATAAAAATATGAACATGTAAGATGCAGATGCTAAACTGCACATTTCTGCTACTATCAAGTCACCAAAAAAAGAATGCTCTTGAAAAAATAAAATTATTAAACATATATAAAGTAAAATGAAAAACAAAACAAACAAACAAAATGCTACCAGAGTGGGGAAATGGTGTAACTTGGAGCATCATTTCTCAAGGTGTGTTCTGCGGTCCCAAAAGGTGTTAACAGTTCTAGATACATAAATTTGAGCGATGCTGCGTACTCTAGCCTCCTCTTGAGATACTCATAGTGTTTTAAAAGCTCTGAAAAGTCCTGCAAGAAAAATCCTGGTTGATTTTGTTTGGCCCAAAATTGTTTATATTTTAGTTAAAATGAAAACCTTTCTGTTTACATTGTACTTTGTAAATGCTTACTTAGTAAAAAGCTAAACAAATGAGTTAGATGCTTCAATTAAAAATTTCTTAATTATATAAAATCTTCTCATTATGTGTTAAAATATCATCACTTGTCAAAAGAACTCGTAATTATTTTTAAAAGATAAAATTAGACATACCTTATACCAGAATAAACTCACACCATATACCAGAGTAAACTCAAAATGGACAAGAAATCTAACTGTAAAAAATGAAGCCATGTACAGGAAGAACATGTAACTGGAAGAAAACATGGGTGAATTTCCACAGAACTTGGTTGTAGGGAAAGGCTTTATTCCTATGACCCAAAATACAAAGGCAATTTTTTTAGATTGCTCTTACCTTTGACTACATAAAAATAGAATATTTTGTATGGCACAAAGAAAAAACACTATAAACAAAGACAAATAATAAAGTGAGGGAAAGATTAAAAATCTGATAGAATAAAGGTCAAAAGATGTGAACAAGCATATATATGGCACTTGCATACATATATATATCAACATGTATTTATATAAATGCCCTTAAATATATGAAAATACAGTCAACTCTGCACATAATGTGAACAAATTCAAATCAAGGCTACTTTAAAGTATCAGTTCTCACCTCTCAGATCAGAAAGCATTAAAATATTTGACAACATATTCCACTAAAGTTGCTCTCAGGAAATCAGCATTCTCATACATTGCTGGTGAAAATGAAAACAGGTACAATCCTTGTGAAGGGAATTTGCCAATATCTAACAAAGTCAAGTATGCATTTACCTTTTGTTCCAGGAATCCCAGTTTTAGAAATTTACCTTTTCACAATGTACCTCTAAGTATACAAAAATAGACATGCCCAAGCTTATTCATTGAAGTGTTAATTGCAATCATTGCAAAACATTGAAAACATGCTCAAGCATAGAAGGTGAAATAAATGATAGTACATCCATATGGTGGAGCATTATGCCATTCTAAAAAAAAGAATGAGGAAGCTCTCCCTGAACAGGTATGGAATGATTTCTAGGATATATTGTAAGCTGAGAAGATAAAAGTACAAAAGAGTACTATAAGATGCTACCTTTTGCATAAGTAAGAAAGGGAATAAAAACAGACATGTAACTATTCCGTTTTTGTAAAATGAAACACAGAAAGACAATACCAGAACTAATGAAATTTGTTACCTCTAGACAGGTGGGTAGGAATAGAGAAGAAGTGATGAGGAGATGGGAACAAATTGGAAGAGATAGGAGGATGTGACTCTTTTTTTTTTTTTTTTTTGAGACGGAGTTTCACTCATGTTACCCAGGCTGGAGTGCAATGGCGCGATCTCGGCTCACCGCAACCTCCGCTTCCTGGGTTCAGGCAATTCTCCTGCCTCGGCCTCCTGAGTAGCTGGGATTACAGGCACGTGCCACCATGCCCAGCTAATTTTTTGTATTTTTAGTAGAGACGGGGTTTCACCATGTTGACCAGGATGGTCTCGATCTCTTTGACCTCGTGATCCACCCGCCTCGGCCTCCCAAAGTGCTGGGATTACAGGCTTGAGCCACCGCGCCCGGTGTGACTCTTACCCCAAATGTGCCCTTCTGTAGTTTTGACTTTTGGTTGTTAACGTTGTATGTAATCAACAACAACAACAACAGTAATAAAAATCAACAAAAATGGAGAAAAAAGCCTAAAATGTAACACAAAAGGAAGCAGATGACTCTCATATTTAGAATGACTAATATACTCACATTGAAGATGGGGAAAAAAAGAACTCAAGTCAGTTTTGAATATGATATTTTGACCAAAGAAGAAAAATAACTGTAAGCAAATCAAGAACTCTAGAAAGTAGGTTTAGGGTGTTTCTTGTTTGTTTTCCTTGGCAATTCTGACACTACTTTCAGTATCTTCCATAATTCAGGAAGTAAGTATCTTGTGGATAATGGGGGCCAGTTTCCTCACTGTCAGAAGAGGGTTACAAATACAGGAAGAAGAAAGATGAGAATGAACCTGTGGTATTGGATTAGTATTAGAGGAACCAACGTGAGTGCAGTTATAGATCAGGGATCATCAGATGTTTTCAGTAAAGGAGCAGAAAATAAATTACTTAACTCTGCCTTGGCAGCACATAAGCAGCCATAGACAATAAGTAAACAAATGAACATGGCTGTATTCCCACAAATTTTTATTTATGGGCACTGAATTTTGAATTTTATATAATTTTCATCTGTCATGAAACATTATTTTAATTTTTTAACCATTTAAAAATGTAAAAACCATTCTTAGTTTGCAAGCTATACACAAACAGGCAGTGGGCCAGACTTAGCCCATGGGCCATAGTTTACTGGCCCCTGTTTAGATAGATGTATAGACATGTCAGTGGATACATAGATTAAGAGACAGAGAGCAAATATGATAAAATGTTAACATTGGGGAAACTGGGTGAAGGATATACAGTAGTTCTTTGTATTCTTCTTGCAAGTTTTCTATTAATCACAAAAAGAAGAACACTGTACTTTTCATAGCTACTGCTGAAAAGGAAGAACACTGATTAAATTATTGGCCTAAGAAGTGACTGTCTTACATTTCCTAACATTCACACAACTCTCACCTATGCTTTTCCCCCCGGGGTAGCTCCTACTGTGGTTATATAGAATTTCTGATTATTAGCTGGGGGTGTCATCGTGTGATAACATTATTTTCTCCTGTTCATCCTTGCTCTTCATCACCCTTAGTGAGTAATGAGGTCACAGGGCTGGTAATTTATATATGACCTTGTAATTTTCTATAATGCAGGAATTTTTTGGTCTGCTATAATTAAGTAGACTAAATAAACAGTGCTTATCAGAAAATGCCTCATTAGCTTGGAAGTCTGACAAATCCTTTCGGATGTGTCCTTAATGTGTTATTATGAAACTCAATTACACAGCGAGCTCAACTTACTTATTTCACCAGCCGTAATCTAGTGATAGCTATGGCGAGCTGTAACTGAAAGTATCATACAACATTGTAAGTAGGAAATAAGTGATTTTGACATTACTATGCTTTTTATGCTGGAAGAGTGAATGGTTTGTAAGGAAAATCTCTGCTGTATAGACTGGTAACCATTCTACCATCTTTTACTGGTTTAATTCCAACAAAGTCCATTTCTACCCTGGTTTATTTATCACTGTAAGTAAGGCCACACCATGATCTTCATTGATAATGAAGATGGCAGAGGTCAAAGCTGAAATTTATTGAGTGCTAACTCTGTACCCATATTCATACCAAATGTTTGTCTTCCATTTTTTTCTATTTAATCCTAACACTCAACTCTGAAGCACAGTTATCATCTCCTTTTCACAGATGAAGCATAGCCATGCTAAGTGACTAGGCCAAGTTCTTACTATAGGAAGCATGGAGCTGGGATTGGCCTGCAGAGCCAGTGCTCTTAGCTGTTGGTTATGACTGTCTACCATTATAGATTAAGACCATAGGAAATACAGAAATTTAGAAGGAAATTATGTAATTACAAAGACATACTTCTATTGAGAAGAATAAGGTAAATGATACAGGGCACTTATAGCAGTGCAAGAAATAGAATTCACATTGGAAAATCTTTTACATTCTCCTGCCTGCTCCCTACCGCTGAAGAATCTCAGCAGTAAGTTTAGAGACGAGAAGGGCTTGAAGTAGAATATGCAGTGACTCAAACCTTCCAGATGTTGCCAGCTTGAATTATAACCCCCAGGCATCTACTAGAGGAAGCAGGAGAGTGGGAAAGAGTGCAGTAGGAAGGAAAGTAAAGAGATGGGGAAATGCCCTCACTCCCCACCTTGTTTTGCCTCCACTGCTTGAAAGCCCCGAGTTAAGGCTGAGGGACTCCCACCACTGTGGGGACCCATGGTAACTCCAAGACTGACTTCAGTTCCGATTCACCTTGTGGAATGTGATTATCCATGACATGTGGCATGTGACTTTGTCAGGCTTTCTTACCCAAAGCTCATAAGAAGTTTCGTCTCAGCTGCATTTCCTCTGAGTTATTGAAATATTTTCTTATGTGAAAAGAACTCTGTTGTAATTTAATAGCAACAATAATGAACTTTTGAGAGGAATATTTATTTAGTTGAAGTATTTCTCAAACTGGCTAGTTAAGTGATTGACTTCATATTAACCAATTTACAAAACTGGATATTGATATCTGGACATCTGTCTTTCTGAGATATGAAGGAGGGAAAAAAAATGTTTCTTTGTGGAAGTCCCAGGGAATTGAAAATTCATGGGAAAATAAAGTCGATATGTGGAATTTCAGACATGTTCGTTCACTTTGTTTTCTTTTTAGGGACTGGTTAAATATGTTGAGCCCACCAATTGTTCCTCCCAGTCAACAGCCGGCTGAGCAGCGTCCAGATTCCTCTGAAAGTTTGAGTGCTCAAGGTGGGAATATGAAAAATGCTATGCATAAGAAGATAAAAATAATTTACTATAAGTAGAGAGAATCCATCACTTTGAGATGCGACTGTTTTTATTCAATGTTGATCACTTAGTCTTACACACTCTAAATGAGGTAACCTGAGCCTCATTTTTTAGAATAATGGGTTCTTTGCAGCTAAAGAGAAGATGAGAGAAATTGCCCTTGTTCTTCTAAAGGTTAATTCCAGGACAAAATGTAGTTTAAGGTATAAGAATATGGTTTGGATGTCAAATTGACCTTCATCTGAATTTCAGCACTACCAATTCCCACTGTGTGACCTTTATGAATTTTGATTACCACATCTATAAAATAATACGAATAATAGTTAGAGCCCCCCCATTGAATATTCAATGAGGTGCTGTATATGAAGCACTTAGAATAGTGCCTGCCAAATACCAGCTGTTGGCATTATTATACAGCAGACGTAATATTTTAACATTACTCAGATACCTGTTTCCATGAATGAAGAGATACAACCTTTTCATTAAAGCAGAAGCTGTCACGTAGCTACAATAGGTATTAATAAGATAAAAATCAGAAACCAGGAATTAAAATTTTCCAGGTGTTCATTCATTTTGTTGGCGTGAGCCATAAAGATGAACCATTTGTTTCTGTTTATAAGCAGGAAACTTGACTGTCAGGTGTATGTGGTGGAGGAGCATAAGAGAATCTCTGGTGAAAACTGAGGAGCTGAGATGGCAGAGGCATGGGGTAGTCTCAAGTGCATAATTAGAGTGACAAATAACCTCAGAGTGGGACTCTCTGAGACAGTTTTCTGGGTTGAATTTTCAAGATGGAAATGCAGTATCTGAAGCTTTAAAAAAGTGGAAGTGAAACCAATATAAATTGCTCCAACAAAAAGGCCAGTTTTTTTTCCCTAACTGCCCCAGGGAAAAAAGTAGAGCATCACATTTTTCTTCAGGTATGGAGAATTCAGAGTGAGAGCTCATACATATGAGTTGTACGTCTTGGCTGCCCAAGGGATGGAGATGTCTCTGTGATTTACTATCTAAAATAGATTATGCCCCTCAAATTGGGAATCTTTTTAGAGGTGTGCATTTATAATTACTCATGACAGAAAAATAGAATCGTGGCTGTCAGGAGGAGACCTTGCTGTGAGGGAACAAATAATGTGTTATGTTAGGTGTTCTAAATAAGCCACAAGAACTGAGAGCCTGGTCCTTGAGCAAAGACACCCAAGATATATATTAGCAAGAAGCAGCTGGAAGGATGGCCTAAAGTCGCCATTGCCAAGCTCAGTTCTGACAGCAGGAGCTCAATTATGTTGAAGGTAAACAGAACTTACATTGAGGGCAAATTCAGAGAGTTGTAGAACCTTGTGCGGGCCAGTGTTAGCCAGATCAAGCATCCCTTCTGCCTGTCACCCTAGATTTTTATCAGCTGTCCCCTGCCCTTTTCTCATATGCTTGGGTGGTGTGTAGTTGATAAGTTCCACCAAAAACTAGCATTTTCTGTTTACTCATCTTCCCCTGTTCTGATATGCTTGGATGGTTTGTAGTTAATTAACACCATCAAAAAACAGTGTTTCCTACTTGGTTAATGGCATGTTAATTGCATAGTTTTAGGCAGTATAAGACAATTCCTACTTACCAGTATGCTGAGATAGTGTTTCCATCTGTTCTGCTAAAGTGTCAAAGAAAAATTATGGGCTCAAGTTTCCAGTTTATATCATCAGAAGGGGAAGGGAAGCATGGTTGTAAGCAGTCTAGAACCCTTCCTGGGTTCTTGTTGCATGCCACCATTCATTTAGCACTTACTTTATACCAGACACCAAGTCATTACATTTAACCCTCACACTACCACCAGGAGGAAATTGTGTGTGTGTGTGTGTGTGTGCATATGTGTGTGTGTGTGTGTGTGTGTGTGTGTTACAGCTGAGGAAGCTGAGGCACGCAACTACTAAGTCACAAAGCTAGGATTTGAACCCAAGCAGCCTGGCCCCAGAGCCCAACCACTATATTTTTAGCCTTTGTAAGTTTTGAGCTAGATAAGTAGATTACCTACTCAAAAAATAATGTATAAAACCAGGAATTGAAATATTATTTTTCCATTAAGAGTTTCTGATTTACAGGAAAAGCAAATTAAAATATCTCAAGGGCTCAGTGGCTAAGTTCTTTACAAAAGAAAGAGATACGTCTGGTCACCTGTCAGCCCTGGGCCTGCCCCCCACCCCACCTCCCACCCATGCTTGTTAGAAATAACCAGTAGCCACAGTTGACCAGATCCAGGACAAGGCCAAGGGAGTGAACAGCTGAATGAAGGGCAGGATCATTGGATATGGAACTGCCGGGCCTGGGTATTTGCTTGTAGCTTATCTTAAAGGCCTTCCCAGACAGTCTTACCTAAGTAGCCCAGTCTGCCACTCACTGTGTTCTCTCACTTCACCTTCTAACATATTCTGCATTCCTTTTCAGAGTTTGTAAATCTTTATTTGTCTACTTGCTTATTGCCTTTCCTCCTGAGTAGGCTGTGAGTTTTTAGGAGACTGTCAGTTTCCTCACTCCTGGATCCTTGGTATCCTATGCAAGTTCTGGCATATATTAGATTCTCTATATTCTCATTAGAAAGGAGACAAGAAGGAATAAAGGGAGGAAAGGAGGAAGGGAAATACTCTTTAACTTGTCCTTTTTTATTACAAGCTTAGGGGAAAACATAGAGCAATTTATTGAAATCTGACTTTCAGTTTTCCCCTCATTCCAATTTTGTTGGTATTTTTGGTATATCTCTAAAATTTAACCATGAGAGTATTGAACTTTGACCCATACATTTGCAATTAAAAAGTTATAGATCACCTTATGCTGTGGCTCTTAAACTTTATTCATAAGCAGTAACAACTTTTCTTTCAAGTGAAATCTCATATGGAATCCTCATATATGGAAGCGATCAAAGTTCTGCCCTGGGGCTCTGATGAACCAGTTAAAAACACTAATGTGGTCCAACCCCTCAGTTTGCCTAAAGAGGTAAATGACTTGACCAAGATCAAATGCCCAATCAGAGCCCTAGCTGGGATTAGGGCCCAGGCTTCCCCCATATCAGTGCCCTTTCTACAGAACCATTTCACTGGGGTGTGAATGTGGTGCCTGAGGACTGATTCTCAGGGAACAGTATCGCCCACCTTTGGACTTCTATGACATAAATAATAATAGCTAGTGTTTATTTCATCTTCCCATGTTCTTGGCCTACATCTGCACTTGAATTCTCACAATAGCCTATGAGATGTGTGTACTATTATTGTCCCATCTTCCACGTGGTCACTCTGGGACTTATAGCAAATCAGTGGTGTGCCGAGCCATTATACCTCTATCAGAGATGGAGACGCCAAGATGCATTTGTGCAACTGGAAGTAAAATGACATTTTAACAGCAGGGAAAGATAGTCTGACTGATATATTATTCTAGAGAACCAAACCATACAAAAGTAAATGCAGGAGTTCTATCTGGCCCTTGAGTCAGAGGTTCCTGGCCCCGTTTTATTCAGTAGGAGTTTGTGTCACAGCCAGTTTCTGCTCAGCCAGAATGTCTCAAGTGCGTGAATGCCACCTTCAAGTGAACAGCCCGGTTTCCAGCACAGCCAGCCAGCAGGAAGAGCATTGCGTTCGGATCTCTAACATCCCACTGGATGGGAAATGGTCAGCTCTTCACAACTCCTCCTGGGCTATAACACACTTGCTGAATATCAATTACCATGGGCATGGTGCCCTTAACACTTACTAAAATGTGTTTTCCTGGAGCTTGTGTGAAATGTGAAAATGGGAAGTTAAGATTTCAGAACTTATTTGAGAAAACTACTAAACTGACCTTTTGAAAATGAACCATACTTTGCTCAAAGAATAGTTGTCAATTTGTTTTTGACATTTGTTCCTTTACAGTTATGACTTTTAAATTATTCATGCTTACCAGCTCCAAAATGGAATAGTAATAACTCTCTCTTCAGGCCTGTAGCCCTCTCTTATAGTTTACATAGATTTTGAGTAAGAAAGGCATTCGGAAGGAGTGGGAGTTGCCTGAGTCTTATAAAAATAATATTCTTATACCTTTTTTATGGCAAAGCCACACAGAATATTCCCATATGGACACTGATTAATCTCCCATGAGGTATAAATAGGTAACTGATGCTTATTTTATAGATGTAATATCCAAATTGCTAGTAAAGAGTTTACAGAAATTTTATGGCTTCTCACAGCTAACCAGAGAGAAGGGTATCTGGCTGACTACTCTTCTCCAACATAGAAATTCTTTCACTGTTCTCCTATTAACTGCCACATAGTTCTTTGACACAGACCTAATACCCTGAGTCTAAAAGTTGCTGAACAACTATGGTACCCCCAGTGCCTAGGAAATAGGAGAATGATTTGATCTATTCTTTTGATCTTTTTTGTACCTTGAAGATTTATTTCAGATGCAAAGGAGACCTTCCCGAAAAGTGCAATATTGGTTATATGAAAACAATAAGCCAGCATTAATAAAGCACCATTGTATACCCAGCACTGTACGGAATTTTTCTGTGCATTACTTCAAACCTCCTCCCAATACTGCCTAGTGTGGGGTTATATTATGTTCCCACTTTACAGATGAAGTAATGGGCTAGCCTGGGTCACAGACCCTGAGTGTGGATCAAGACACTGTCTCAGACCTGTCTGACCAGGGTCCACACCCTTAAATCCCACACTGCAATATGACCACAGAATCCCTATTTAGGATAAGAACTACATGACCAAAATGTCCACTGTAATATTTTTAATTTAGGAAGTTGTCTGTTCTTGAAGCTTTCTGGATAAAGTAGTATTTAGCTTGGTACTCTTCTTAGACCCAGCACTCCCACCTCAACTCTCAGATTATAAAATGATTCATCTAACATTCTTGAATGCAGAGCCCCCGCCCCTTCCCCTGTAAGTAGGGTGACATTTTCTCTTACATCACTATGAGGGTCCTGGGGGAGTCTTCTCTGAAAGAAGTGATTAGAGATGGGGGATATCAGCGCCTCACTAGTATCAAGAGATGCCTTCTTTTCAGGGCCACTAGAAGTGAACTCTCTGTAGAGTGAAACACATTGCAGGTGTCTGAGGCGCTCTCCCCTATTCCAGAACCACCCCACCTACCTGTCCCCCACGTGCAACCCAGAAGGCTGGTCCCAGTTTTCCTTGCTGGAATTGGGATGCATTTTTCCATAGCTCAATGTTGATACCTTGCTTAAAATCAGATGCCTAAGAGACTGTGGGCTCTGCTGGCTTCAGAGCTCAGTACCTTGGAGAGGTGCCTTCCTTCACGTGTAACAAAGTGTGTTCAGAGTTGTAAACCACACAGTTACAACTGCACATCTGAATCACTGCATATTTATAAGTAGAGACTACCTGGAAGGAATGAAATTGTAATAATTCCTAATTAATCATCCAAATTCTTCAACATGTTCCCTAAAATGGCATTTTCCCAGTAAAATACAGCCACCAGTTTTTACAAAAGGGGTAATGTACCTATTGCCCAAATGACACCTGAACTATAATAATGCCATGTTACTTACCTTCCAAAAACAATATAGCTCTCTTATTGGAAGAAAGTATCATTTCATTGTTTTCATTCCATTGTTGGTTTTTTATCTTTCTCCCATTTGAGGGCATGTGTTGCTGAGAACCCATATTCAACAGTGCACAGTGGGCTTTCTCAGACTTCAGTATGAGTTAATTTTGCCCTACTATGAGATATGTTGGTGGTAGAGTTTGCAAGCACCCAGAACTCAGCAGAATCTTATCTAAAATGTCATCTTCATTGATCCTAAGGCTGACTGCTCCAGATGGTGATCCCTCACTGTTGAATTGCTTAAACAATAGTGTATTAGTATGCACATAAAAATACATTCAATCAGTTCTCAAGATCTATAGGAGAGAAAATACATTAACTTTAAAAAAAATTGTAGATGGCAGTGTCAGAAAATCGAAAATCAAGTTCAATGTCTTGATTCAGAGATTTTAAATCTGATAAACTTAGTGCCGCATCATTTATTTTCAAGCTTGAAGAGTTATCTTGTGTGTGTAGGTTTTCTATTATCTACAGTTAAAATGCATTAAATATAGATAATTAAACATTTATATTAATTGACTTTCATAAGGTGAACTGGAGGGATTATTTACCCGAGCTGATCTACCAAGAGAAGGGCAGCCTATATTGCTGCATTTGGTCTGGCTTCACTGGTTTTTCTTCTGTTATTGCCATTAGCCAATTTCAAAGTGTATGAGGCTGAAAGTTTGTAAATAGATTATTATCTGAAAGGTAATTTTATTTCTCTAGAAATGGCTTTATTATGTGTAGAAGAGTAAAAATGTAATTTGGACCCCTATCCAGATGCTCTTAGTCTAGTAGCAGGAAATGGTTTTATTTGTTAATTTGTCCTTCTAGAGTTTCTGTAGTCAATCTTTAAATAGAGCAATTTAGCATTTTGAGGAAAAACAAACTCAGCTGTATCCAAGAACATAATTGAAAATTACCCCATACCCATGCACAATAATTACCTTTCAAAACATTTCCCAATGCTTGACATCATAGTGGTAATTGCTTAACAATATTATAATTTCATTACGTAGGGACTATAATGGCAAAATAATGTAGGTTGGGCTTTGAAAATTAAGTTACAATGAAACAAAACCTTTTATGTAAGTTTAAAGCACTTACTTCAACAAAAAATTATAGATAATCTCACCCAATTTTTGTATGAATGTCATTGTTGGTAGTTTTAAAATTCATCCATTTGAAGCTTTGGTACTAAAAAAACCACAAAACCTATCTTAGTCCCCGTGGTTATAATGCGTGAGGGTCCCATTCTGTAGTGATATGTATTGGAATGAATGCTTTTATATCGCAGTTATTGCTCCAGTTTGTATGCGTTTTGTAGCAAAACCTCTACTAATGAATTGGATCTACCTTGATCTCTTTGCAAATGGGTGATGAAGACCCATGGCCCATTACAATGGTGTTTTCATCTTGAAAGATGCCCGACTGGTTGTAAATATATTGTGTTTTCTCATTTAATAGCACCAGCTTAAAAATTTATTTTTTTTGGAAAGTACAGGCACAGAATACACTAAATAATTATATAACATATAATCTTAAGTGCCAGAGGTCAGAGTTCCCCATGATGTGCTGATGGATTAAGACAGAATCAAATGGCAGGTCCCTGAGAGTTTGACTCATAATCATTTATCTCAATGATATGTGATTTAAACATTACACCTGATGGAAAAAAATAGCTTTACTTTTGGAACATGCATGATTTTTGGTATAAGAACTGTTGTTTTATTTAAAGATGAATTTATCATAATGTTCTATGTAAAACTAATTGGGGGGCTTTCTAGTTCTTTCAAATCCACTATGTTTCAAATACACTATTAAACAGACTCAGTTTTGGGGTAGGGAAGAAGGTATACATGCACATAACCCTTCTTGTGTCTAGTTCACATTTCCTGTTTTCCATGATGATGGTGATAACATTTACTGAGTACTGAGTACCTACTATGTGTGTGCTGAGTGTCATTTAGTCCTCACAGGAATGATGACAGGTACTATTATTATCTATACTTTACATATGAGGAGCTGGTGCTCAGAGCAGTGAATTTCCCAATATCCCACAGCTGTAATGTGGTAGAAGTGGGATTTGGACTCGAGTCTGTCTGACTTCATTGTCTAAACATCATCCTTCCTGCCTCTATGAAGCCTTTTCCTCACACTTTAAGCTATATCAGTACTTCCATCCTGAGTTACTAAGAAAGTTATAACCAATAGCTCATTATTTATTTGATTATCATCCCTAATAGTAACTATCATTTATTAAACAACTACTATGTGTGCTGTGCTATGCATATTACCCGTGTCTAATTTCATCTTTCTCAAAACCCTACCAAATAGGCATTGTTATTTCCATTTTGTAGACAAAGAAACCAAGGTCCAATAAGGTGAAATGATCTAGAGTCAGCTTTCAGGCAGTAAACAGCAGAGTTCCCATTCACCCCCAGTGGATTGGATTCTAGAGCCCTTGAGTGCACTTAGCAGTCAGCAGTAGAGCCTTCCAGTTAACACCTCATTGATCTTTAGTAGCTGGTTTTTTTTCATGTGTTTGTGTCACATTCACAACTAGATTGTGCCCAGCTCAATCACATAGCAGATACTAATTGATAAACTAATTTTCATTTCGTTCAAGTACTCCAAACTTTAAAGGCATAATGGATTGACTATCTGAAAATAAAGGATGTACATACTCTCCTTTGATGTGCAAAAAGTGATCTAAAAGGGGTCATTTTCAATGTGGAATGACCATTTAATGAGTACTCAGGGACTCCGAAGACAACAGAAGATAAAGGAAAGGCAGCCTGCCTTCTCTGAGTTCCTGTTCTTAAACTGTGCAGGTTGTTCAGGTCAGCTACCACCATTAATGTGGTTTTTAGCAAAGTCCTTTCATACTTCCAAGATATAAACTGCTGTCACCCAGAGTCACAGAAGCTCATCTAAAACACTGCAGGGATCATTGGATCTGGTCCCCTGTCCTAAGCAGGGTTCATCTACAAAATCTGTACAATGGTTGCACCACTCTCTGCTTCACGCTTTTCAGAGTACATGTTTCATTTGCTGGTCAGCTCTAAATGCTTAGAAAATTTTTCCTTGCGCTAAGCCAAAAAAAAAAAAAAAGAAAAGAAAAGAAAATGGCTCCTCTTAGGTCCACCTGTTGATCCTGTTGCTTCCTCCTGGAACCCCAGATCTTATCTTCTCACTCATGTGCCACCTTTCATATGCCTGAATCCAGAAGGGCTGCTGTCACCTCACCAAACTTTCTTTCCTGGAGCTAACAAGCTCATTTCCTTTGGGCTTGTGGAACTATTTGCCCCTCTCCTACCCCAGGGACTCTCTCATCTTTAACAATATTTTTGAACTATGATAAATCAGATTTCTTTGTTTCCAAACCTAATTTATTAAAATGTAGGACACTTCTAAATTTTTTATTAGTCTTTTCTATGTCCAAATTCCTTTAATGTAGTAGCTCCCAATTAAACATGTTACACCACTCTTTTAGCAAAAACATCAAGGTCCAACCGAACAGACTGGTGCAAAGTACTTCTCTGACTGGTAGAAATAACACTGAACTCTTAGTCTGGAAACAGAGAGTTTGTGCCCAGCTCTGCCTGTCACTCACCAAGCAACCTCAGATGAGCTGTTCAACTTTGTGAAGCTTGGTTTCCTCATCTATAAGATGGGCATGATAATTCCTGCCTGTTTCACAGGGTCATGAGGGCCAAATGAACTGCTGCATAAGAATGCTTTCTAAACTGTCACGGACTCTACCAGTTGAGGTATTAGCAAGCAAGGCAGATGTAATCATTCCTCAGTTGAACTCCACTCTTAAGGACTGCTAGCACTGCACTCAACTCACAAGAACCAGCTGGTTTCACATTTTACCTGCTTCTCTACACAGGCCATTAGAATAGGGACTGTTTCGTATCATCATGACCTGAGCACCTAGCTCAGTGCCCGGCTCATGGAAGGATCATGTTAAATGTGTTTTTGGATGGTTGGAAGAATGGGCAGAGGAATGGCTATGGTACAGTTTTAAACCCCAACTCCACTATCTAGGCACCACTTCCTTGGACTTAACTCCAGTTTGTCAATGCCCTGACAATGTTGAGGCACCAGCTTGGTCTGATTTTGGCTGGGTCAGATGAAACACCACGACCACCAGCACCATCTTCCCTTCCTCTGGGCAGTGACACTTAAGATCATGGGCTTTTATTCACACCTTCAAGAAACATTCCATTTTTATTGAACCTCTATTATGAGTGAGCCCTGCACCATGCCCACCATCTAAACTCTTCTGAAGCTCAACCTGGTTAGCACATAGCCCAAAGCTTCACAGTGTGGTTTGGTTTGAGTTTGGTCTTTAATAGCCTGTGCTTGATTGTGAAGCTGAAGGCTAAAAAAAGAAAAGAAAAAAACAGCTGTGCTACTGAAGAGAGGATTGTTGTCTTAGTCACCTCTTTCTCCCTGTGCCTACCCTCTGATCTCTGGCTGAGAAGATCTTGACCTCTCAGCCTCTGAACTCATTACATGAATTTTCAGAAGTACTCAGAATGCACTCACTTGTGAATACAAAAGTACTTGGCACAGCACTGGGCACATAAAAGGTACTCAGGAAACAGCTTTGTAAAAGTTTTTTTTTTCATTTTATGCCATCTGTTGGAAGCCAGCAAGCCTTGATGATGACTTAGACAATAGGACTCCTCTCTGTCCAATCCATCCAAATGGCTGCCACAAGAGAAAACATCAAGCCATGTTCATATCCCCAAAAAACTTAACAGACTTCCCCTCACCACTAATAAAACTACAAATTACCTGACATTTTGTTTTCTCTATATATCGTCTGTTCTATATATCTGATAGTTCTATTATTTTAATTCATATTTGTTTGGTAGCCTTTTTAGGATGATTGAATGGGGATCAAGTTTTCTACTTTATTAGTTTGCACTGTTTTGCATTTTGTACAGCTCTGGCCCATGAAGAAGTTTGGAACTGTGACAATTAGTTTTGGATCCTGGCAAGCTTCCTAATTCTAATGAGCATAACTCTTAAGTCTTTTGGCCCTCTCCTTTTCTTCTTTCCCCTCCTACCAGTTCTTCACACTCAGTTTTTCTTGTCCTTTATCGTGAAATTGGTTCTTCTGGTCACTGGTGTTTCTTCTCCACCTAGCACCACATGTGTAGAGTCTTACCACTACCACAGTGCTCCTCCCTTCCGGCCTAAACCTTCTGCCTACATAAAGAAAATCCCCCAGGAGAGATGGTGCTTCCTGCTTCACTGCCCTTGTTTAGGAATTCCACGCCAAGCCAACAGCTAACATGTCTGTGGTTCCCCTTCCCCACAGGTGAAGAAGACCTCAGTGTGGAAGAGGACGAGGAAGTACTGACTTTGTTGTATGACCCTTGTCTGAACTGTTACTTTGACCCCCAAACTGGGAAATACTATGAGTTGGTATAATGCCTCCTTCCAGGGCAGAGAACAGGCACTCCCAGCTGGAGCAGGATAGCAGTTCAGAGTCTCTTAAGGAGTCACTACAACTTGTGTATTGGTGATCACAAAATCAACAGTAACTGAGAGAAACGAATTCATTTTGTAAATAATTCCTTTTATAGATGAGTATGATTTTGAAACTGAAGAAATTAATACAGAGGCAAGATTTTAGGACTTTGAATTGGTTCTTATTTGTTCTCATTCCACATATAATTTTGTTTGTTTCAGATAATTTTATGTAAACAAATTAAGAGTTATTCAAAATTTTTGCAGTGTTAATCTGTAAATGATGGCTTGATATACAGAAAATGTATTTTTGTTTGAAAGATGCCTGGGTACCTTTTATTCTATGACATTTGTATTAAAAATAAAGTATGATGGTTAGAAGAATAGCTTTTAAACTGCTTCTTTTCATTCACCCCACTTTGTTTTCCAGAATATTCCCATATGATACTTCCCTTCTCTTCAACTCTTAGAAAAGGAAACATTGTAAACTGGTCAGAGTTTATGATCACATTTTATTGGCACTGGCCCCACTATTTCCATTTCATTATAGTTCACCCAGAGTTTGCCAAAGATCACAGCATTGTTAATCACTTAAGCTGCTTAGCACTGTATTTTTCTTAAAAAAAAAAATCTTCTGCCAATTATTTCTGAATTCTAATAATAGGTTCACATGTAGCTCCATAGATCCATGTTTAACAAGAAGTCATCTCTTTGAAATACCTCCATCACCACCACACACACATACACACACACTGCACACACATACACACACACTGCACACACACATCACTCACCACTCCTGTGGTGTGGGCCTGGAGAAATCCCAGAGGCTTTCTTTGGTTTTTAAGTTCATGTCCGTGTAACTCTGATTGCTAGATCACAAGGAAAAATCTTATGCTTCCTGCATTCAGGTAGGCAGCCTTGAATTGTGTACCAGGAATATTAATATTGAGCTCAAGGAAGTACTTATTATGTTAGCTGGCATATTTTGTTATTTAATAAAGATTTTTTAATAAGAGTACCATGGAAATGAAATGTTATTGGTGTACAGTTGGATTTAATGGTGGCACTATAATTTCATTTAATATCACTTGATAGAGGAAGTAAGAGCTCTTTTTTCGGGAGTAGATTTGGACTCCTGTTCCAAGTATCATGCATTATTTAGAACCATATTTGTATTTGATAAGCTTTTAATCCTGTTGTTCACAAAGTATACCTTCGTTATGAATTTCTCTCCAAGATCTTCAGACTTACAAAACGAACACGAATAAATTAGGCTTTCCAAAGCATGCAAAATGATAAAAGAGTTGGGTTATCTTGATTATGACCTTAAAGACTGGAATAGGCTTGTAAAGCCTTGTTTCTGCTTTAAATAGTCTCGGGACCATCTATATAAAAGGGAGTCAATTAAAATGTGTATTCTTGAAGACTTGTAGTTATAAATATCAAAAACAACATGAGCTAGATGAAGGAAAAAAACGTTAGGATACAAGAGTGCCTCAAATGCCCCAAAACAGAATGCTGTAAGTCCTCTGAATAGATCTGGGCTGGGACCTAAGGACTGTAGTAATCTCTGTCGGGATTCTTAAGCTGCAGGCAACAGACACTCTTGATCCCAGAATTCAAAGACTTGCTGAATAATCAAGCTCTGAGAGGCACAGGAATCAGAGCAGCCCCAGAGATCCTGATAGCAGCAACCAACAGTTTCTCATGATGATGGCCACCAAATTGACAGCGCCACCTTTTTCTGCCTCAGGTCTCTGCTCAAGGAGCAAGAGGGTGGCAGGCTTAACTCATCAGTTATTCCCAAGACCACATGGAACAGGAGTGAGACAGTCCCTGAAGGAGAAGAGGGCACTGTTAAGAAAATGGGGAGGGAGGGATGTCAGGCAGGCAAAAACAACAGATGTCTCTCCTGGGAGTCTAGAAGCATTGGCTCTGCCACTTGTCTCTGAATTTGCCATCTCTCCTCTCTTCTCTCTCTTCTGTCTCTTCTCTTCTCTCTTCTCTTGCATTTCTCAGCTACCCAATCCACCTGCCAGAGCACTCAGCCAGTCCAATGCCCATATACCCAAGCATTCAGAAATGTTAACTCCCAATTTCAATTCAGAAATCCCAGAGTTGGGATTCCAATTCACCCATTTGTTCCAGGGACCACCAGGACCCTTTTCTTTGGATGAAGGAGGAAAGCAGTTATTCCAGTCAGTCCTTGTGATCTGAATAGACATTCTAAAGGTGTCTACCACAAGGTCTTATTATCCCCTTTTTACATTTTATTTTCCTGTTTTAAAGAGATAGCTTCATTTCTGTTGAGATTTCTACAGAAGAGTTGAAAAACAGAAATAGATGTGCTTCCCAATGCCAATTTTAAATCAAATTGGTACCACCAGGTACCAATTTACTTGGAAATTCATTAACTAGGAATACATGTTCACTGGCTGTCAAATTTTGTGTCATATTAGAATCTTCTGGAAAGTTAATAAAAATACTGATGCCCAGTTTCCATATCCAGAGAGTCTGACTTGCTTAATCTCAGCTGTAGCCTGGGCATTAGAAATTTTTAAAACCTCCCCAGCCATGCCAGTGTGCAGTCAAGGTTGAGATGACTGCTATAGATTAAATCTGATATGAGGAGAGAGTAGTAGCTTTGCTTAATGGCATATATACCTGTGGGGAAGAGCCTGTATTATTACTTTTCATTTTAAGACTTTAATTTCTGCTTTTCTAATCAAGTGTGTACCAAACATTTTTATCCAAAATGATTGCAAATGGATACTAAAAAAAATAGATTGATTCATTGCAGAAGTACATCTTAAGATAATTTTGTATCAATTTGGGGGCTGATTCAAACAGTTCCTCGTTTCGTAAAATCGGGATGCAACTTACAAGTGACTTTTAAGTCATCAATCTCTAAATTATCATTTAATTACAGAGACTGGTTAGTGGAAATTATGGGAAAACAACTGTCAGCAATAATGGCATCAGATCAATGATTTTGTTTCTCTGGTAATTATAAGTTCTTACTATCTCCAATTAATTTTTATTAAAGGAAAATACTAATATATGCATAGTTCATAGACACTTTTGCCAAAAAAAAACTTTCCCTATTATATTTCTTTGATTTTTAGATGAGTTTCATTTAAATCAGTCGTTTCAATAACATCTTGATCCTTCTTGAAGTGCAAACTGTGTTTAATAAGAATAGTGTAGTTTAATAAGAATAGTGTAGTCACAGAATGTACACCTCAAGCACAATTAATTGAAAGAACTAATTTTAAAGTTGCCCCTTGGTTTTAATTAAAGATCTTGCTGCTGGAAGTTTCTGAACTGCCTTTTTTAAAAACTGTGTAATGACAGCAAGTACACTATCAAAACTTGGCTTGTTCCAGGTTACACTCTGTGACTCTCAAACTTCAATCAAAATGACCAGAAGAACGAAAATTAGGAATCACCTTCCTCAGAGATCTAGAACCAGAAATATCATTTGACGCAGCAATCCCATTACTGGATATATACCCAAAGGAATATATACCATTCTATTACAAGGATACATGCACACATATGTTCATTGCAGCACTATCCACAATACCAAAGACATGGAGTCAACCCAAATTCCCGCCAGTGATAGATGGACAAAGAAACTGGTACATATACACCATGGAATACTATGTAGCCATAAAAAGGAAGGAGATCATGCCCTTTGCAGGGATATCGATGGAGCTGGAAGCCATCATCCTCAGCAAACTAATGCAGGAACAGAAAACTAAACGCTGCCATGTCCTTACTTGCCAGTGGGAGCTGAACAATGCAAACACATGGACACAGGGAAGGGAGCAGCACACACTGGGGCCTATTCGGGGGATGGGGTGAGGGGAGGGAAAGCATCAGGAAAAATAGCCAATTCATGCTGGGCTTAATACCTGGGTTATGGGTTGATAGGTACAGCAAACCACCATAGCACGTGTTTACCTATGTAACAAACATGCACCTCTGCACATTACCCTGGAACTTAAAACCAAAATAAAATTTTTTTTAAAAAATAATCACCTGTTATCACCTGTTCACATATGGTTTTATCATATGATTTCTATTTCATACGTCATTCATTTTGCATTCCAGAAATGTTAGTCATAAAGAGAATTCTTATCCAGCAAATCCTATTTTCTCTTTTTCTCCCATTATACTGGTTAAGATATAATCGTCTAATTGGGCCTAGAAAGGACAATCAAGATCATTTATTTAAATGCTCTGATTTTACAGTTGAGAAGAGTGAGATTCAGATTAAGAAGCCCTGTCAAGGTGGGAATTAAGAAGAGAATGCAAATAATAGATTGAGATGGACATCATGAACTCTGAACAGAGGTCACCTGAGGACACTGACACCTTTCCAGGAGTCTGGGATTTCTGTTCTCACTGAGCATTTCTTTTGCTTCATGCATAGTCCTTCCTCCCTCAGTTGTCAGCCTTTAAACCTCAAGGATCAGCATTTCCCAACATGTTTTCCAAGAAACAGAACTCCCACTAAATAAATGCAGTGAGAGTGAGAAGAGGTCCATGGTCAAACCAAGCTAAAAAACATTGGACAAGTGGAAATGGTCATTTGTCTTTACTGGAGAAGTTCTCAGTGACTTTAAGAGACTAACCTGCATAGGGAATCTCCAATGGATGAGTGGCACTCCTTGAATTTGTCTACAGAACCCTTTTTCTGTAGAATATCTCAAGGATTTTATCCACCCATATCCTTTGAGAAATGCTGCTGTAGATCACTCCTCCAAAGCTGGGAGCTCCGACCCCCCAGAACTCAAGAAATGTGTCCTCCATCCTCAGTTTGTTTGTTTGCTT